GGAACCGGGAAGACCGGCCAAGTCCATTATCTCACAATGAAGGGCTAATTACCGGGCCGGCAAGCCTCAAATCACTCGGCAGCAGGCTGCCTGTCTCTGTCCTCCGCTCACCCAACATCTTAATTGCTCTTTTATTCTCTCTCTGTTTTCGACGTGCCTCTCTCCCCGACTCGCTCCCACTCTCGCCTCCGCCATTTTCACACATAAAAGCAAGATGCTAATTGCCTGCTGTGGAAATATTGGGCCTGTGATTAGCCAGGCAGAGGGTTTGGCTGGCCTGTCTGTTTCCTACGTCTGTGTGAGGGAGTGCCGAGCCAGCGGTTCGGGGCGTAAGAATGGGGAAACGGCGGCAGAAAGGAAATCCATTTGACTGTCATTCAGATGCGGGCCGGGGCAGTAAGTACATTGTGCTCCAGGAGCAATTTGTCAGACTGCTATGTTGGCGAAATGGTCACAGAAAATCAGCTTGAACCAAATTACAGGAAAATTAGTTCTGTTCCTTCAAGGCAGAGTTTGATTGCGATCGTTAGCATTGAGAGACGGTCTAATTATTTGGCCCATGTTTGGTTTTAATATCTGGACCACCGGTCTGGACAATTAACCGTCAACCTGAATTAACCAAAGAAAAGACAACTGTGTCATCAATGCTCAAAACAAGCTGCAGCACGTGATGAGTTGATGAATATTTGATCTCAGTTTACGTGAGTTTGTTCTCCTTCCGGAGCCTGAATGATTATTCTCACTAATAATGGCAGAGCATAATCATCTAAAAACAACAAGGATTCATCTTAATAGACTCACATCTTGAGACATGGAAACTGGACCCAGTGGGGAAGTTTGTTTCGGCCCAACCTGAACATTTTCTGAAATACTTTTTATGCACCTTCAAGTGAACATTGCCAAATGTAGTGGCCAATGTTGGAATGGGATTTAACTTAAGCACCTGCCCATTTATTTTCTTAAGTAAGTCAAAAGTGTGCATGTACCAAGTTACATCCTATCGCACCTCTCGAAACCAAGGTCACAAAGTGTTTCACGGGAAGAAGATCGAGGGTGAAGACGGTGAGAAAACAGAGGGAGGAAACCTCATGAAACAAAGAGAAATAAGTGTTTCACAACAAAGTAAGGGCTATAAAATCATAAAAAAGGCCAGAAAAGCTAAATCAGTTTAAAGAGGTGCTGATTTGGCGTCTGGGACACTTAGCAGGTGCAGCCTTTTCTTCTATCACTCTTTCTGTCACAGTCCCTCCTTTGTTACCTTCTAGCATCCCCCCCCCCAATACACTTCAGATGTTAGCAGGTTATTTCAGTAACTTTTCTTCTTTCAGAGTCACCTGCCGTTTGACCTCGGCCTTGTCCCGGTACCAAACCAAAGCTTTTTTGAGAACCATGGCGGATATTGGAATGCTCTTTCAGACCCTTTCTCTTTGCAGTGGTCCCCCGAGCGCTTTGTCCGGGAGGTTGGAAGAGACGGGGAAGGGAAAGAGCCGATGGGGAGATGTGGAGTGTTCGGGCAGCGCAGCGATTGGTGGTGGGGAGGGGGGGGGGGGCGGAGGTTTTGGGGGGGGGGGAGAGGTGCAGGTCGGCTCTTCAAAGCCTGGCTTTTTGCATTGTTGGTCAGTTGGGGATTAAGGTCCTCTGTGCAGCAGAATAGCCCCTCTAATTAAAAAGGATAAGAAGGCAGAAAAATAGCGAGAGGCACGGGAGGAAGCAAAGAGAGAGGGAGAGGGGAGAGCAAATTTGCAGAGAAAAGAAAGAAAAGAAAAACTGTTTTCAGTGTCACTCCTGCAGCCGGGCCCATCGATTCAGACTGGATTAACTTTACACTCCTCCTCCCTCATTCTCTCCGCCTCTCCGTCCCTCATTCTCTCTATACTGCAATTCCCAAACTTTGTACTCCACATGCTCCTTATTAACTTGAAAGTACAGTTAAACAATTCATCCAAAGCATTCGCGCGGGTCCCAAAAAGCCACGTGTGTGCATTGTTGTCTCTTGTGATCTCTTCACAAAAGAACTATTTTCAGCTAACAAACCAAACCAGATAACTTTCCCGTTCGGTTGTAGCTTTGCAAGAAGTGAAGTTTTGCTGTATGAAAATGCAGGCCACTTTCACCACAGTGTGTGTGTGTGTGTGTGTGTGTGTGTGTGTGTGTGTGTGTGTGCGTGTCTTTGCTCCTCAGTATTTGCCGGCATCACAATGTGAATAGAGAGACTGTGTGCTGGGCCCCAGATGCCGGCCGACGGTAGGTGGGCTGTTTGCTGTGGGGGAGCCAGGTTGTGTTTTTGTTTGGCCCTCCTCTGTCCCGCCTGCCTCCCTCCCCTCGCCCGGTGGGGGGTCCAGGGCCCCCCCGGGGCTGGTCCCTGCTGACCAATACCCAGGTATGAGCCCCCTCAGTTTGGCTAACACTTGCCGCAGGCCGTGGGAGGTTAACGAGGTACCAGCAGGGACAAGACATGCAACCCTCCCCATGGGCAAACCACAAGCGGGTGGATGTATCTCACGCAATGAAGGGCGGGGTGTGATGGAGGCCATGCAGAAGAGGGCGACGGGGTGAAATGGTGATAAAACTGCAGGTTATAAAAAAAAAAAACAGACAAGTTCTCCATCGAGTTGTGCAGATATCGTACGCCTTTTAAATAAAAAGACGTAGCGCGCTAGCGTGTTAGTTAGCTCGCCATGGAGCTCTGGTGCCGTCTACTTTTCAAAGACACGATGGTTGATTTCCAACAACGTTTTGAGAAAATGACAGCCGTCCATGAGCAAATTCATCAATGCGTGTATCGCTTCCTCCGCCAAGCCTATCAATAAATCTATTGATGAGTTCATCAGTAAGTTCTACAGTGCAGATGGTAAAAAAAAACAAGCAGTCATGAAGTCCAATATAGTTTACTGCATGCGTTTGGTGTGTCAGTGTGTAACAGATGGGGTTGGTTTAGTGAGCCAAGTCATTGATTTGACCTTGAGACGGACATCTAAAGTGAACCAAAATGGTTTTTGATCCAACTGTGAGCTGTGCTTATTTTTATGTGTCCCACGAGTAACTAAACTTAACTCACGGGATATCTTAAATTAAATATAGCAATAAACGAGACCTATAGACTAATCCGAGGAGCAAATAGTGAAAATAAGATGTTATTGCAACACTCTTGATTAGGTTTTACAAATGTGAATTTAGAAGACGATTTTAGAGATAAAACGCCACCGAAAAGATTCCTCTGCCTCCCCATATGACCCCCCCCCCCCCTATAAGCAAACAAAGGGCCGCTGGAGGAGAGAGGAGGCATCGCGCTCTCCTCCAGCGGGCCGCATTATCCGGCGCAGTGAGAGCGCGGCATCGCAGTCCCACGATTCTTAGCCCTCGATTCGTCTCCCCAACAGCAGGAGGAACCGTGACTCCTCCGATTGGCCCGCAGACAGGGGGAGGGCACATTGCCACAGACATTAACAAGCGACTTCACCTTTTTCTTCTTCGGTCTTTTTTTTTTTTTTTTTTTTTTTTACAACCACGGCCCCGTTTAGCTGAAACGCTCCCCAGGGCTATTAGATATTTTCCGATGAATTATATATCAGAGCAGAAGATGAAAGCGCTCAGCGTGGAGGGAGCCAAGAACATCGCCGTGGGACAACAAGGGGAGCAGATACAGGCTGCTTGTTTTATCGCTGAGGGGCAATGGGAAAACTCCACTTAGAGGGGCCTAAAACGATTTCGTCCTCTAATGACCAAAAATAATACACAACTTTATCTTTCATTTCGATCCGCATCGATGGCACCGCCTTTGTGTGAGTCGTAAGCAATGGGCTTCGGGACGTGGGTCGCTAAACAATAGAGACCATGTAGTCTTTAAAAGGTCGCATTGATTTCAGTCTGGTCTAAAATGCCTCGCAGTCTGCTCATCCGGCATGAAGACTCCTAATTAGTTCTCCAACCTGCTGCTTGTTCGGAGGCGTCAATCAAAACCGTCGGTCCGCGAGGCACAAAGTTTCTCAATCTGGAAGGAAAAAAAGTTTTAAAAAATCCATTGACAAAATTCAATTTAGACATTTTATATCACAATGAGTCACACATTTAAGGGGTGTCATTTTTTTTAGGGGGGGGGGGGGGTGTTTGTTCAACCCAGTGCATTTAATAAGCATCGCAGTAATTAGGCTGCTGCCTGGAAGCAACAACATCGATTTCATGCACCGGTCAAGTTTGAGAATTTAGGCTGATTTGCATCTATGACACAATCATCCAAAATGTACATTCAGGTAGATTCTACTGCGTAGATTTCTCATTTTCCCAAGTTATAAATAATAATGCCTGCTCATCAACATTAAAAAAAATGGCAGATATGTCTTTATTGACTCGCAATTTAAGGAGCAGAGAGAAATATCCCAAATCCCCCAAAATACTTTCGACTCACAAATGAAACACTGATTTTGAATCCGCGGCTTCATGTTTACAATTCCAATGTGGAGACTTTATTTATCAGAAAACTTGCAATAAAACGTAATCAACTTAGGAACTTTAGGTTAATATTTTGGTGGAGCCAAAGGGTGGTGGTGTACATTTTCTCCCCCTTAAATCTCCTTTACAGGGTTACACGGAATCAAACCGTGACCGATCCTCGAGGAGTTTTCACCTCTTGCTGCAAAAACAGTGTTTCCTTTTTGCAGGATCAGCTTATTTTGACAATCAAGCTGCAGCGGATCTCGTGTGATTCTGCCCGTGCACGCGGGTCTGTGTTCGGTTATAAGGCCGTGCGCTATTTGTTGGTCACCGAGCTCCATGCAGGCGCTCGGCTCTCATTGGCTGCTCTCGATCAACGCACCTGTATTTTCCAGGTGGGTCTCGCGTTGAAAATGCACGTGTAGCGTGTAATCGCTGCTGAGCAGGGCGAGTGGGGTGTCATATTATTATTATTTTTAATTATAAAGAAATGGCAGGAGGACCACCAGTGCTTTTTGGAGATGTTGCCACCATCGGGACACTTTGCTGCATCCTTTCACACCTCTGCCCATCACATTTCCTCTCATTTTCATTGGCTGCCAAAAAAATAAATCCTAGCAGTCTCTCTCTCTCTCTCTCAATAAATACGGAGAATCTCTTCGTTTTATCCGCATCCAACACGCTTAGTCGGGAGGGAATAATCAGAGAGGCTTGATGCGCCGAGGGAGGCGTTTAAAAGAAGACAACAACATCTAAAGTGAGTGACTTCTTTACCTCCCCGCCGCTGTAGAGCAAGGTGTCGTGTTCGGTTTTGAACGTGTTTAGTGAGAAGTTGCTGTGTGGGTTCATCGACGGCGAAGGCCTACGGGGAGATAATTGGAGAGGCGTGTTTTCAAAGGAGAGCCTTCGGCCTCTTTGGGCTGCAGGCTCGGAGCAAAGAGGCATCCAGGCGAGTAACGGCGGGCCGGCGGGGCGGAACACGACTCCGGGTAACACGCTCCAACAGACGCCGGCTGCATTCGGGCATGGAGGGGTGGACACTTTATGTAATTAATTAAAATGAAATTAACTAAATTGAAAGGTTTCGCTTTACAATCAAACTGCCGATTATAACATAAGCCGTCAGAATACACGGAAAAGAAAGTTTTATATTGACGTTCAACAAATAAATACAATAAAATAGTGGAATCGAAGGTCGTGCGTGTGTCAGTTTGGGAAAGTGAGTTGTAGGGTTGGTTGCGCTGGGGTTGGGGTGGTTAGGAGGGGGGGGGGGGGGGTTGTCTGGCAGTCAGCTGGTCTGATAAATACAATGCCAGTCTTTGTTTTATTTTCGTGACGCAGAAAATTAAGGAGGCCTGAATGCGGAGTCGTGGCTGGCGTCCTGTAATCAGGCCAGCGCGTGCCGTTCGGATTATCTCGTTAATTTCTTACAGAAAGAAGAAGAGGAAGAAAAAAAAAAAAAATCTCTCGCAGCCAATAATAATTAATGGCCGGGCGGGGTATTTATTATTGAACGGGTGTGGAGCAAGTGACAGATTGAGTTTATAGGAGTGGCCGTTATTGGCTCTATAAAGCGTACGGCAAAGAGAGGCCCCCTGGGGTCCTGGGAACTTTATTCTACAGGTAGGAGTTGATGGAAACGTACTAATAGACCAATTAGCTAAACTAAAAAAAAACCGACATAATACAATCTATTAAACATTGCTTTTTGCAGTCTTCTTTCTCTAAAAAACCCTAATATATTTAATATAGTTTTATAATTCAAAGGTATTGGGAGGCATCTGTAATATCTAATACGCGTTTCGTTATACATATTTAATCATACATATTTATATACTAAACGGCAAATTTGTCTTGCAAATTATTTATTCTGTAGTGGGCCTATTATACTATATATTTTATTCATTGCCGAATATCCTCGTCAATATTAATTTCTCATTGCAAAATATATAATTTCAAAGAATTGTTCTAAATGTAATTAGGTGTTGATCAACCTAATTTGTGGTATTTTCAATGATACAAAATAGTTCTACGAACGTTTTTACTGTAAGACTTTTTTTTATTTTTTCATGCTCGATACCTGCAGACACATTTAGTGGGCGACCTCCTTGTTTGTTTAGATTAAGTGCTCCTCTCTAATCAACACTTGGAGATAGTGTCACCTTCCAAATCTAATTACCGGGAGCGATTCATTAGGAAAGGAGGTGAATCGCCGCCAGGAGTGTCAATAACATGTCAGAACTCACTTTGGGCATTGCCTCCATGTTTCTCATTATTTGCGAAAGTTGTCCCTCGTATTCTAATTTCGTTCTATTTGAATGTACAAAGGCTTTTAGTGCGAACCTATATATAGAAATGAAGATTCTCGGTTGTATTTGAATGAGCGCAGTTTGCAGTATTGGCTTCTTTGTTTGCACCCTAAAGTCTTTTGTTATCAGCATTACTTATCGGTCAACAGCGGGCTTTGTTTCTGCAAATGGCCCCCCAATCAGCTGTCTATTTAGCTTCGCCCAACCTGTGGGTATATGCTAATTGAGGGCCTGGTTGGGGCCCGCAGAGTGTGCGCATTTTAACGACAATGTTTTGTTTTGCTGGTATAGGAGAGGAGGAGAGGAGTGTGTTTGGGGGGGTGGTAAGGGGCGGGCTTATAGTAGCAGTTATGTATGTGTGTGTGGTGGTTGGAAAGGGAGGGGGCAAGGGGGGGGGGGGGGGGGGGGTTGTGTGCTTAAACGCCTGTCAGCCAGACAGAGCATCCTCAGTCCAGCAGGGACAGCTGGGGGTCTCCGCTCGCCTTTAAGAGCCCTGCGATTTCGAGGACGCCCACTTCTTTAAACCCTCCGCGGTGCGTAAAGGGCTGCGCGTAAAACTCCGCGGACTTTCGACGAGTATCAACGACCTCAAACCCCCCCCCCCCCCCCCGTCCTGTTCTGTGTCCCGCTCCAGGCTGATCTTCTGGACAAGCTGAAGCGCAAAAGGGAGCGAAGACAGGATTAAAAACAACAACATCCAAACACTTTTCTGCCCTTTTTTTGTTCGCGTTTCTTCGTGCGGCCGCCAGCATGATGTCGTATCTGAAGCAGCCGCCGTACACGGTGAACGGACTGAGCTTATCTACCTCGGGAGTGGACCTGCTGCATCCCTCCGTGGGATACCACGGTAATATACACCAGGCTGCAATAAAAAATACATTTCATAAAAATACCATCCAAATTGCATGATTACAATGATCATCAGTTATATTATTCACCTTAATAACTGGATGGCAAACGACCAGTTGTGTTTGTAATTTAAATGATCGAGTGATAGATGCGTTTTAGGCGCTTAATTCGTTATTTGGTGTCTTATTTCCCATTGGATTGTTTTGCTTCAGGAACCCCTCGCAAACAGAGGAGAGAGAGGACGACCTTCACTCGGGCCCAGCTCGACCTGCTGGAGAGTCTGTTCAACAAGACGCGGTACCCGGACATCTTCATGAGAGAGGAGATGGCCCTGAAGATCAACCTGCCTGAATCCAGAGTCCAGGTGAGCCTCCGACGCAAACCGCCGCGCCGTGGAAGCGCGGTGGTCGGTCACCGAGAAGCGTCCTCGTCGCTGTTGGAGAGATGAGACCGCGCAGGCGCTGCTTGAGGCGCTGCTTTGTACTTTTCAGTGCTTTAATCGTATTAGTCGTAGATGAGTTCGACACTCACGTGTGAATATAATGAATATTATGGAAAAATTGCGTAATTGTAGGATAGATTTTTCTTGATGATGTGGCTTTTTTAAGTATCTTCTGGAAAAAGAAATTGGGCAGAAGTCGTTTCATATCTAATTTGAACGCATATTATTTTTTTCCACCAGGTTTGGTTCAAGAACCGACGAGCCAAACACCGCCAGCAGGCCCAGCAGACCCAAAGTGGCGCGCAGAACAAGGCGGTCAGCAAGCCGGTGAAGAAGAAGAGCTCTCCGGTCAGAGAGGCCAGCTCGGAGAGCGGAGCCAGCGGGCAGTTCACGCCGCCCCCGAGCACCGCGCTCCCGGCCGCGAGCAGCAGCGGCAGCGGCAGCGCGGCACCGGTGTCCATCTGGAGCCCGGCCTCCATCTCCCCGCTCTCCGACCCGCTGTCCACCTCCTCCTCCTGCATGCAGCGCTCTTATCCCATGACCTACAGCCAGGCGTCGGGCTACAACCAGGGCTACACGGGCTCCTCGTCCTACTTCACCGGGATGGACTGCGGCTCCTACCTCTCGCCCATGCACCACCAGCTCTCCGCCGCCGGCTCCGCCATGAGCCCCATGGGGAGCAACGGGGTCTCCGGCCACCTGAGCAACGCGTCGTCCCTCTCCTCGTCGGCGTACGGCGCGGCGGGGCTCGGCTTCGGCAGCGCCGCGGACTGCCTGGACTACAAGGACCAAACGGCCTCGTCGTGGAAGCTCAATTTCAACGCGGACTGTTTGGATTACAAAGACCAAGCGGCGTGGAAGTTCCAGGTGTTGTGAGAGGAGGGAAATAATTGGAAAACAAACAACAACAACAAAAAAATGGACAACCTACTCCCCATCACCCCCACCACCTCCCCCCTTCGGCCCCACCCTCCCCCAAGCTGCGGGCAAATAATTAAAAAAAAAAAACAAAGTTCGAGGAGCAGCAAGTGCGGGCGTTTTCTCCCCCCCCCCCCCCCCCCTCTCCTTCCCTCCCCTCCCCCAAAACCTCGGGCCCCAACTTCTACCTCGGGCAGAGCAGAGCAGGACTGCCAGCCGGTTGTCTCCCTTGTTGGGTTTAACTTATTGAACATTCAGACAGACTCCTTCCCAACTGTGATCAAGGACACGGAACAAATGTGTTGACCAAAAGGGGGAAAAAAGGATCCAAAGAGCGAAAAATCCATTAAGCCCAACTTGGTTGAGTGTGAGGAATAGGTCAGGGTTTTTTCTAAGCTCCTTAAAGACTCCCTACTCTTTTTATTTTGTTGGCACGCTGAAGGCCCCCTTTGATCAAAGTGTTGCGCATGAGTGTGTGTGAGTGTGTGTGTGTGTGTGTGTGAGTGAGCAGCTCTGACATGAACCTGGATGCACTATTAATTTATAATAAATGTTTAAAACTAGTTATAAGAGACAATCAGTCTGTCGGCGTGTGAGCAGAACAGGTCACTTGTGTGTGTTTTGGAATTATTTTCCCCCATGTGTTAGATATGTGTTTTTTTTTAAAATTGTGATTCTTTGTACCACATGTATGCAATTATTTGCTTCTTCGCACCACGAACCCGTGAATTGGATAGATCTATTTTCCTGTCTCGAGTGCTTAACTGATAAATTATTATGAGGACATGTTAGTTGAATGAAAGAAGGGAGCGTGAGTCAAGCTGTAAAGGCCACAAACACACTAAATGACAATAAAGATCACATGACCTGACCCGACACTGTGGCTGCATGTGTAAATCCATCTGAATCTCCTGTGTTTCTTCATGTGTCCACCACCTGTTTCTGCACCCAACACACGGAAACAAGCCGGTCATTTATCCACATGTGACCTCCTTTATTTGCCATAAATCTTACGTTAAAGTGTCGGTAAATCGAAAATGATCCCCAACATGAATGCCCATTTAAAAATGTCAACTACATCAGTCCGGGGAGGAATGTGAATTATGTGAGATATGTTAATCCCATCTCACAAAGAGGATAATCCAACATTTTATTGACGGCTGCCCTTTGGTTCAGGGCGCTACGGCCGGTTCACACGGAGGGACGTGGGATGGAGAGTCCCGTGCAGAGAAAACCTAAATGCAAACAGCAACATGGGCGTCAAAGGCTTCAAACAAAAATGTTGTGAAAAATTGCACCATTGATCCTCATAAACGGCTATTATCCAAATCATATGCAGGCTCAAATGCTCTGCATCCTTTGATCAAAATCAACGTGCATCCAGACGTCTGTTGGAGGGATTTAGTCCCACGCGGGAGATGTGAGTGTGGACACGGAGCCGAGCAGCCTCTCCGGGGTTTTGGGGCGAGCGTGTGAGCCCGAGCAGGTCCGGGGGCTCGTGCGTGGATTAAGGAAGGGGAAGAAGAAGAAAGGCTCGTGCTATCGGTCTAATTAGGATGTGACAGGAGACGTCAGAGAGGCTTCTAATAACTTTTTTTTTTTTTGCTGCCGTTGAAGTGCTTTGTTGTCCATTTGACCCCCAATTAGCACCAAATGACACCAGCAATTACAGAGCGACTGTGAGGCTGCAATCTGCGAAGCATCACTGCCGATTTAACCTGATTGTTTTCATGTTTTCTATATTGACAATATATATTTTTAATTAAGGATGTGGAGTGGGCACTATAGCTTTAAATTACGGAAACATCTTGACCTTAATAAAGACGAGATTAACTAACTAGTAAATTAAAATAAACTGAATACTTCAACCAAAAATGAAACAGCTGCAAATGTGAAGAATAACAGAATCATATGAAAATTAATTGGTCATATATATGTGTACAGACACACACACACTATGACCATAAAGATGACGCTCTTCATAATCTTCATATTTCTATATATGTATATATGTGTTATGTGCATACATACATAACACATACATACGTTGATCACAGTCATGTGTAAAGCTTCAACAGGTTGAATAAATGTCAGCAGAGAGCAGTAAGTCAGTGTTACACGAGGAGGGCCAGGGGCCCCCCGAGGATCCATTCGGTTTTAATTAAGCACAAGCGGCCCTGAAGGGGACATATGGGTCCGGCAGACGCGCTCCATTAATCCTCTCGTCGCATTTGAGGATGTTAAACAATGAAAAAAAGAGACCCTCGGAAGCCTCTTCTTGGCTGAAGCGAACGCACATTTCGCCCCCCCCCGGACCCCGGCCTCGCCCCCGTGGCACCGCTTCACCGGGTTTCCGGCGGGCGGAGGGGATCCGTGGGGCCGCTGGAGGGGCGTCTGGGTGCCGGCCGAAGGGCCCCGATGCAGCGGATGAATATTGAGTAAAACGGAGAAGCTGAAAAATGTCAAAATAAAAAAAGAATACGCACTACTGAGAAGTAATTTACCATGGGAGGCTAAACGCATATAGAGCAGTGGGCCTAAATATCCATGCAGTGTGTGGCGCCCTTTATAAAATGTAAAATATTCAAATATCTTGGAGCTTCTTTAAGATACAGAAGCTTCAATAGCAGCCAAACATCGCGTGATCATTATTCTGTGGAGATACGCCAATTGTACTTTTAGTTCAGTCTTCTGACGTATTCAATGATATATATTAGGCTGTTTATTTCGGCTCAAATCTACTTTGTAAAAGAGAAATATATGCAATATGTATTGCCAAATAGGCACAGTGTACACGCAGTAAATACAGAGGCTGTAATCTCCTCACAATGATAACAGCAATGATATGTGATCATCATTGTCTGGCACGTTTCGTGATTTGGTTTCTATCATTTCAAAGGCAGTACGAGTTTAAACAAAGCAATTCTGCATATTTTCCTTATAGAATAGAATCATCACACGTCTGTAAGGTTTCGCCCGTTTAGCCTGATTTTGACTGGAACATTTCAGAGCGGCTTTATAAAAACACATTATTCTCGTTGTATTATTCTCGCACCGATTGTTTTCTTCAGTCGGGCCGATTGGGAACAAATCGACATGCCAACTGGTGTCTGGAGGGATGGAAGGCATGACGCAAAACATCAAGAAACATTTATGGTGAACAATTCCTGATCCAAAGAAGCCTTTCAGAGTTCATCTAAATAGCCTCCGCCGTCATCAGCCGCGCGATGTCACCGACAGCCACGCGACTGTCTTATTTCACACAAAAAGAATCAGCGAAAAGTGCTGCGGCGACAAACCGGCGCGTTTGAATACAGTAGCCGCCCTTCGGTGGCGGACCCGAATCCAGCAGCTGCGTAAAACAAGCGGAACATCGTCCGCACGTTGTCTCTCACGAGGAAAAACAACACGGGAGATAAACGGACAGTTTGTTGGTGAGAATACGGCCGGGGACCATTGTTATGCAGAAGCATGTGTCCTACATTCCCCGAGAGACGGCGATTATTACATATCAACACATACATAATTCATCTGCGACAACATCTCATTTGAATGCGGGAGACAATAGTGCTCCTGTACGCGCGCGAGTGGCGGTTGAGAAATATGGTAAATGGTTAAAAAAAAAAAAAAAAAGAAGTGCGCAACTTGACCTTCTCTATCTGCGTTAAACCACGTGATGTCATTTCCTCCCGTGGATTACGCCATTAGACGAGATTATGAAGTGGATTCTCTCAGCTGCGCGCGCTATTGCGTCGCCGCGTGACGTTTTAAGGGGACTTGAAGTGGCGCGTAATGGTCTTCTGATTGGGAATGAAGGCTCGCAGCGAACTCATTCGGCTCCGATGTGAAAACAGCGTTTTCTCATCCGTAAATTGTTTCTTGGAGGTGGGGGGGGGGGGTTGACGAAGTGAAGCAGAGCTGCAGGGAGGAGCGTTTGTTTTACACGTTGCTGTGGCCGATTGAGCTCAGCGGGGGTTCCGTAAAATCACGATACAACAACGCTAAATTAGTTCCTGCGGTCAAAATTCTACTTAAGTTTCACCAGAGTGAAGCGCATCAAAAAGCAACCTAAGTTAAAAACGGCCCCTCCACTGATATTAGTTCTAAAGTGCTGGTTTGAGGCCCCGACGGGCTCAGATCGGTGTTATAATGTGACAACATGTTATTAATGTAAGTCTCGTTCCAAAGTCTCGCGTTGCAGCCACGTTTTCTTATAAATGTAATAATTTAGATGAGCATTTTTTAGACATTTTCTGTACTCCAACCTGATGGAAATTATAGAGCCAAACTTTATTCTAACCTTTCCGCTCCATGTTTGTTGCTGGGTCATGTGACTCGGGGGGCGTTTTTCTATATCAAATGTCAGATACACATACTGGAGTAGAATGGCACTATAAATGTACTTACCACTGAGAGTCAATGTTGTGCTGTGATTATGTGACTTTATTGATATTATATGTTCCTACTTGACCTCAAGTCTGCTGTGAATGAAATCAGGATGGTTCCTTTGGCTCTTTTCCGACTGACGTTTGGAAGTTGCAGCAGAAAATGCTCTGACTGAACCTGCCGAGTGTTTCTCCGATAAGAAGGAGTCGCTCGAGCCTTCTGCTGATGCCTCTTTCGTTTTGCAGGCACGCATGCTTTTCCTCTCTCCTTTTCATGCAGGGAGATCGACCCTCTGGCACAAGCAGCGGCATTTGTTGACAAGATGAAATGATGAATTAAACGCTTTTTTTCCGTGAGAGCATGTAAGTACATTGTGCACTGACGAAGGCCTCATGATGAAATGTCTGCATTCCTTATTTTCTTAAGTCCTTTTTAATTGAATTACGGGTTGCTTGGTTTCTCTGATCTTGTCATCACATCTTGACAAAAGAAAAAGAAAATTGCCAATTTTTTATAGATTGAACGATGAGCACGATCCTCCTCTAAAAACACATCTCATTTGTAACATAATCTGTACATTAATCTCACCAAATAAGAACTGAATTTATGTAGAATTAACATATTTTAAAGACTTGAGCCTGTTATGAATGGATACAAACCCTTTTACAAAGGAAACATTGGGGAAATATTAAACTAAATGACTAAATGGGGCTCCGATTAGAGCTGGGCGTCTGCACCATATGGCCGGAGTTAAACATGTGAGCCAAAATATGAATAACGCCGAGACTCATTTGAGGAAAGAAAGCGCAGGCTGCAAAAACACACGCACACAGTATGTTTCACACTAACACTCACTCACATACACGCAGGAATAAAGCTGAAAGCTGATTACAGGTTTAGAGAAAATCCCAGCATATGTAAAAAAATAAAATAAAATTGCCATCATAGAATTAATGCTCTACATAAAGTTAATGCCTAGTTAATGTTTCCGTCTCTTTTTTTTTACCCAAAGAATCCCTTTAGCTTCCAGGACCTTATGACCCTGGATTATGGGGACAGACGACCTCCAGCCAACAAAGCTCTCCTGCCCTCATGAGAACAGACCATTAGCAGGAGGGGGGGGGGGGGGGGGGGGAAAAAAATCTCTCTATAAGAGCAAAAGGGAGATGTTATAATAACAGATTACATGGCTTTGCTGGAAAGGGAAAATTTACATCCGTAAGCTGAGGCTAAAACCATTTCTCGCAAACAGATCGAGTGAGGCTTCAGTTCAGGAGGCTGTAGGACAGTGAGGAGGGGGTAGGGGGGGGGGGGGGCAGTGAAGGGCCACTAACAAGTGAGGAAAATCAAAAACACACCTGGCTGATCTCTTAGCGCTGAGAGATGTCAAACGTATCCTGATTCAACTTGAAACTTCCTCACGTTGGATGTTTTTTTTAATGAAATGAAGATGATTATGTTTTTCATGGGTATTTTCTAACTTATTCAGACATTCATTTAGATGACCGAGGTGGC